AATTTACATTGATTCTGTATTATTTGATTTGATTTTTGTGGCCTCTAACCCCCTATCCAGAACCTAGGGTTCTTGTGTATGTTTTTTAGGCGTTCTGTGTGCAGGTTAAATTAAGGCCAATAATGGCCATGGATGAGTTCAGAGGAGTGAGACAAGTATATTGGTACTCTTGGATTCCATTTTTGTGGCCTAAGGAGGATTTTGGAGAGATCCTAGGAACCTTCCTGCGGATAAAAATCCGCAGGTAATCGAACCAGGTTTTGTGAAGAAGACGATTACGTGGTGGGGCGTGATTGGTTCATTTGAATCAATTACACGTTTTTTATTTTTGGCCAGTCATAATTGAATTGTTTGTATATAATATTTAGCTTCTATTCCACTAACAGGTTAACATTATGGCTCAGTTGGTAACGCGCTGGTTGAATTGTCTCTTGGGACCTGGGTTCGAATCCCAGGTCCCCCAAACTTTGTTATCATTTTGTTTCAGGCGTTCACATGCAGCACTTCAGGCAGGGAGCATCATATACCTCCAGATCTCAAAGACTACGTGGTTATCAAGGCAGATCCAAAATGGCTAAGGATGGAGGTTCACCGTGAACCTTGGTCAACAAACGCCCAGGCAATCTGAAAGTCAAACAAGGCTGATTGATGGACCTCAAAATTGCTGAATCAACCTCCCTTCTGAGCCCAAACCCCTTTGGTTTATTCTTTTTCTTTTCTATATTTCTTTTACTTAATATGTTTTATTATCTTTAACTAATTAATTAACAAACTAACTTTTTTCATAAAAAACCAGAAATCACAAAAAAAATATTATTTTCATCATTAATTTTATTTTTGTAAATAAATCATTAATTAACTAATTTAGTTTAAATAGGTTTAATGATAATATATTTTGCAATAAATTAAAATTGATTTAGAATTAGGTTTTTTATATTTTTACCATTCTTATTTTATTTCCTTAATTAAAATAAAACTCAAAAATATTTTCTTTTTTAATTAATTAATCATTAGTTAGGCTTAATTCTTAATTCAAAAAAGACCAAGAATATGTTTTATTTAATGAAAAAATGGTCAAAACCCTAGGACACTCCGATTCAATTTTCTCGCGCGCGAATTATCTTTGATCCATAATTGTAACTGCTCCGAGGATGTAATAGCTTTAACTTAGGATTTTATTTACCGCTTTTATTTACTTTTTTCGCATTTAATTTTAAGGGTTTGTTTTTGGCGATGTAAATACCTGACGCCTTGTAATAGCTTAGCTTTATTTTCCGCAATCTATTTTCTGCAATCATTAACTGTTAGATGTTTGAATAATAGGCTATGCATGACAAGATTAACCTCTAATTTAAAATCAACCGTAGCTCACCATAACATGTGCAAAGATAATATATCTGAAAAACAATACACTCGCACATGTCACTCTTAGGGTACGCTTCACTTGGTTGCCTCGAACGTGGTCATTGAGTATAGGAAGTCTTAGAGGTCGCCCTCCTGTCCAAAGATCAAAGTTGCCTCGAAACGGTTGCCTCGGATAAAATGATCTAAGACATTAGGATTACCGCTAAGCCGTCCTAACATTGCTTTAATGACCACACGTCCCTTAAACCGAATTGACCCGAAAACTCCAACGACGGTGCTACCTACTCCTCAATAGTGGGATAGCACTGTCTAAAGAACATTTTCACAGTTTAGTTCCTTTTTGAGTAGGTAGATGTTCTTAAGTACTTGCTCCTTTTTAAAACAAAATAAAACTTTTCTCACTTACACTCTCTTTCGAACAAAAAACTCTTTTCAAAACCCACAAACACAAAGAAAAGCCAACTTTTGAAAACATAGTGAGCAATTACCTAAGAGCCCGTGGATAACCACGGATAAAAAGGGTGCTAACACCTTTCCTTTCTATAATCTACCTCCCGAACCCGAGAAACATCTCGAAAAGGAATTTTTCTGTGCTTTTGTCCTTTCCTTGTTGGATAAAATAAAAGACGGTGGCGACTCTTGCTTACCGCGACATTTTGCCAACGCAAAACGCGAACCAGCATTCCAAAACAGTCAGTTCTCATTCCCACCGATCACAGTTGTTATAGAGGTAATTTGGGTAAGAGTGAGTTAGTGACGCATTGATGTCCTTCATTAGTATTTCGAGGTCAGATTTATGGTATTCTTGTGATTCCTCAAAATACTTAGAGTGGAAGTTGTAGAAAAAATTTGGGTGATACATAGTAATTAAAGTAAGAGTGCCTTAGTCTATACGGTGCAACAACAGAAATAACAATATTTATTGTTGGTCCTCGGCAACAGCGTCAAAAACTTGATGCGTCTGTAGGTGCACAGAAATATCAAAGTAATATAAAAGAGTATCGAACCCACAGAGATCAATGTCAACCTACTGTAATCTATCGTCGCTTTGTAAAGCTAAGGCTAATGAATGATTGATTAAGGGGAAACTAAGATTAAAATAAAGACTAAAATAATATTAAAGAAATATATAATAAAAGAGAGGTCAGAATGTAGATTCCGTGCATCTCAGGGACTTTGTAACTTGTTGGCTTACACTGATGTTATAAAATTTTTTAGTAGAAAATATCAATGTAAAGATAATATCTCACACTCTCGTGGTTTTGAATAAAGTCATGTTCCTTTACCATGAGATTTTGCTCTCGCTCGCCCATTTCAATTGAGGAACGCGTTTTAAAAACTGAACAAGTTCTAATTAATCCTAAAGCGCTCTCGTTGTGTTCAGAATTAATGCCTAGTCTCTATCATCCGGTTCGACCTCCACGCTCTCGTTGTGTTTAGAATTAATGTCTAATCTCTACTATCTGGTTCGATCCTACACTCTCACAGTGTCGGCTCGAACCTTAGTTAATTTTCCACTCTCGTGGCAAGATCATGTTAAGTAACCTCTCACTCTCGTGACAAGGCTATTTAAATTAAGTTTAAAAACAAAGACCAAACAAAGTTTTCAAGTAAAGATTTAAGTCAACTTTGTTACTGAGTCCCGTCAGAGACGAAGATTCTCACATACCGGACTCAAGACAGTTTAGCTAAACATAGAATTAAGTGTAAACAAACTAAACATAATGATTGAAATTAAGAATATCATGGTAATTAAATTAAACAAATGAAACAATAGAAATAAGAAATGCGATAAAGAGAAACATGTAAAAGAAACTGGAATAAACGAAATTAGAATTAACTTCATAATATGTTGGCACGCTTGACAATTAGGTACATAATTAAAATAAAAGAAAACAACACCTAAAACTAATGGTGTGATAGTTCCTCGACGTGAGAAACTATCACTTTTACATGGTAAACTTTTCTGCCTAAGAACTAAGAATAATAAGCTGCTCTGAACGAAAAATGGTGGGAACCCCCCTGTGTATGATGAACTGCCCTTTTTATCATCTCCTTCAATTCTCGTAACTTCCGTGGAGAAGAATCAGGCACTAGTGGTAACGTGAAGAAATTATCGAGAGACGTTGCTTGCGTGAGCACTGACGTGAAGAAGAACTACCAAACAGAACAAGAAAAATCATTAAAATACGTTAAAATATGTGGTTGGAGAAAACATAGTCGTGGCGGAGGCCACACTATGTGTGGCAAGGGGCACAAGGCACAGATGTGTGGCGGGGGGCACACAATGTGTGACGAGGTCCACAAGACCACAGCTTAAGAAACTACATTTTCTGCTTTTTTTCTTTCATTCTTTCAATTTTCTCCATTTCTTCGTCATTTCTCGTCCTTTTTTCGCATGTGAGCTCTGTGTTAGAATGTACTTGAAATAGAATAGCAATACCAGTATAACACGACAAAAATAAACGAAAATAATACTAAAAATACATGCGAGACAAGTTGAATAAACGATATAATTTCACGTTATCAGTGAGGAGTAAGTTAAATAGGAGAAATATGTAAGAAAGTGAAAGAAGAGGGAAAATTTTGAAAAATAAAGATTTGATAGATTATGGACCCGTTTATTTTAGTTTTTTTTAAAAATGATTTTTATAGTGTTACATAATTTTGTGTAAAAAAAATTACTAAAAAACTTTTCATAAAAGATTCAATTGAATATTTGGTTTGAATAATTATTCTTAAAATGTTATTTTAGGTATTTCATCTTCTTATTGAAACTTTTTTTGGATATCAAAATTTTAAAAAATCACTTAAATTTGAAACTATTCAAATAGATTTTTATAAAAATCGTGTTTGAAATACAATTTTTTTTGAAAAAATTACGATTTTAATTATGTGTTGTCTTCAATAATATATATTTATATTATAGGATGTCAAAATTAATGTTTTAATTTAGAAAAAATGAATATAAATTTTTTTTTAATATTTTAAAAAACAATTTTGAAAAATCTATTTTAAAAAAAAAAAGAAAAGAATTTTTTAAAACTGAAACAAACCGACTCTATTTAGTATACGAATAATATAAGAAAAATAGAGGGAAGAAATGTTCATGATTATTAAAAATACAAAAGCATGCTTAATAATAACTTTGAATTAAGAGAAACTAGATGTGTATAAAAAGTGTATAAATAACAAATTATCAAAATTTACATTTCTCCTCTCTTTTTATTTTGAATAGATTGAAAAAGTGGGTCCTGTCACTCATTTGTTTCTCTCTTCTAAACCAATAAAGAGAAATTGACTCTCTTCCACACTTCTCTCTCATGTCAACTTACTCTCTCTTCCCTGTTTCTCTTAAATCAATCAAGCCCTAAGAGAAAACAATTCAAATCACCTTCGTTTCAAATCAAACACCAACACTGTCGATTAATCAATCAATGTCGCTTTACAAGAAATATTGTTTTTCTTCCTAAATAAAGAGAATAATATAAGAAAAGAATATGATGATTAGCCCAAAACAAGGCCTGAAACCAATTAAGGAGGAGGGAAGATATGAGTACAAAGAATTAGAAAATAACAATGGGTCCAGGAACCAAAAATAAAAAAACTAATTCCCAGACACATGTACAAAAAATTCAAGCTGATGGTATAGAACAGAGATCTTCAAAAACTTGTCTGATGTTAGGCCTTTCATGTACAGGGAGAATACACCTGAGAGATGTTGCAAGCAGTTGGTCCATCTCTTTGGAGGATTCTTCACCACCTGCAATGTCTCTGTCTATACAGTCCATTACCCTTCCTTCTCTCTCACACAGCCTAACCCAATCTGTAAGATCAACAGCACCCGATTGTCCCGATATTATGTCACCTGCACTTTTTCTCGTTAATAATTCCATTAAGATCACCCCAAGTGCATAGACATCGGCCTTAAAGGATGGAAGTGGTTTGGATGCAGAAGCAAGTTCTGGAGCACGGTATCCGAGTGCTCCTAGATTTAGTATCTGTTCTGCAACTCCAGCCGGCGTCATGAGGCGGTGCAGACCATAGTCAGTAAGACAGGCACCGTAATCAGGGCCTGCTAACAGAATATTTGTCGGCTTCAGATTTCCGTGTGGAAGCCCTCGGTCGTGAAGGTATAAAAGACATCTTGCAACATCAACCGCAACTTTTATTCTCTGACTGAATGACAAAGGCGAGTATCTCCGAGGTGTGGTTTCTACAAACACATACATTAATATTATACTAACTATAAAACAAGCTTGTGTCACTGGTAAATACTCCTGCGTGAATAATGCAAATGATACCAATAAGCAGTTCCTTGTGCGATCTTTTCAAGTTTTGTCCAAAAAATAACAAAACAAAATAAAAATGAGAAGTGATGGTTGGGGTTTGAGAAGAGTTAATATTACCGTAGAGATGGAGGGCCAAGTTGTCTCCTTGAATATAGTCGGCTAACAGAAGCCTCTCCTGTTCCCTAGGCCCCCAATAGTATGCTCGTAACGGCACAATGTTTGGATGCCTCATAGAACCAATCCTTTTAACTTCTCTGGCAAACTCCTTTTTATGTTTGACTAACCCCACCCTTAACCATTTCACGGTCAACATATGACCACTGTCTAGGGTAGCTTTGTACAGAGTGCCGTGGCTACTTCTGCCAAGAACTTCAGCCGGAGCTCGAGATAACTCCTCTGCAGTGAATGCTAGTGAAGAATCCAGAAAAAAAAGTTCCCCGGCCAGTCGATCTGGTGAGTAAACGTCCAACATCACAGGCTTTTCACAAGCCTCTATAAAGCGCGGTGAGGACGACAGTGGGGAACTGGGTGAAGACTTCCTTCCAGATGACATAGGAGGGTTATCCATCAAATTAGGAATCACCGGTGCTGAACTGGTTGCTACTCCCTGAGACAAGCCATGCTCAGAAATTTCAGTTATAAACTCTGACTGCTGTCCAGAAAGTGACCTTGAATTGGATATCAACAAGTGATCATTTGAAAAGCTCGCCGAAGATGATGGAGGAAGAGCATTTGAATGGAACTTGAAGAGAGAAGCCCTTGAAAGTCCTCCAGTAGTTTGACCACCAAACTCACTTCTCCCGTGAAATTCTTTTGCTTGTGTTCGATGATAAGCCAATAAAACAAAAGCAATCATCACAGCAGCACCCACAGAAGCAAGGATAATTGCTATCCTGATATTACCCTTTGAACTATGATGTTTATTTTGAACAGTGCCTGGCAGTGACGGATAACTAGGAGAATCATTTGATAACTTAAGCTTTTCATTTCCAGGGTTAAAGGATGATGTAGGAAATCGCCGCAAATTTTCGGGAACAAGGCCAGATAGATCATTGTTGGACACATTAAATACATTCAAGCTAGACGAAAGCTTGTCAGGAATATTGCCAGTAAATTTGTTGTTAGACAAATCGAGGGACACTAAATCAATAAGTTTGCTCAATTCATTAGGAATTTGTCCAGAAAAGCCATTCCTTGCAAGATTCAGCAGTTTGAGCTTAACCATCCTACCTATATCAGAAGGCAAGAAGCCTTCTAAAGAGTTGTTTGATACATCAAAATATTCCATTGGCAGAAAAGGAGACGTGAGTAATAATTCACTAGCCCCTGAACCTTGAAGCAAAAGTGGTCCTGTAAATTGATTTCCAGAAAGATTGAGTCTTGTCAGTGATGGTGAAATAACCAAACTAACTGGAATGGATCCATTAAGTTCATTCAAACTTAAGTCAAGGGTAGACAATTTTGAATATTCTATAATTGAAGGCAAGGATCCTGACAGCTTGTTTGAACTCAAATCAATAACCTCCATAGTGGCTTCCCAGTTCTCTATTACAGAAATGTCGCCAGAAAACATATTCCTGCTCAAATCTATGATTGTACAGCTTCTCAAAGAAGTTGGCAATGGTCCTGATAAACTATTAGATGAAAGATCCAAAATATTTATAGTGGTAGAGTTAATTACACCAATTGAGCCTGCACATAAGCAAAGATATATAGATAAATTAACAGAGTATTGAGTTTAAATAATTTAAACTCCCAAAATCTGAAATACTTCACAAACCATGATGCAAAAATCATTTATAATTAAAAGAGCCTCCTGAGAATCTATTTGAATACAGTTAAATTAAGTATTCTTACTTGAAACATGTGAATTTAAAAAATAAATGCTTTTAAATGATAAAGCGAGCAGAATAACGCCACTAGGATAAAGCCGCGTCGCAAATGTTGGGAGTGAATGAGAGAAATGCATGCAGAATATTATAAGACAACCAATTGAGAAGAATTTTTTTTGTACTCAAGGAATTAAGGAAAAGACTGAGAATTAGGGATTAAGCATCTAACTTGAAGAAAAATATCTTACGGATGATCAGAGAACTACAAAATACGATTAACAAGTGGCCACACACCAAGCATCATAAGATTCAATCACTTACAAAGAGTCAAAATTCTCAAACAAAAAATAGAGTCAAAGACACCAAACAGATAATGTGTGATTAAAGGTAAGGAAGACCATCCACAAAAGGAAAAAGATTCAACATCTTTAACTTCCCCTCGAGTTCTCCCTCTTTCTCTCTATTTTCTTACCCCCAACCCATCTCCTGTTCTCCCTCTCTCTATGTCTATGGGAAGACGACAAGTATGCTGATTTATTGCAAGCTTATTGATTCCATTAAAGCCACATGCGACATTGAATTTATAAACTTCCATTTAAAATAAATTCCCCCACAACTCACTGCCAGTGGCCTTTGAAGCACGACAAAATTCCATGACCGAAAAGGTTTCCTGTCATCATTTCCGCACCTTTTCCGCATACTAAGATGCATGCGCATGCGCATGCACATAAATACACAATCAAATAAATACACATGCAACTTCTTGCCACACTGTTTTTCCTTTTGGCTAAGTAATGAGAGGTTTGAATTGAAATAATTTCTCATTATTAGAAATTTAGAACCCAACATGCACATTGCGTTGCATACTTCTTATAGACTGTCTCGACAAAACATGTAAAATACAAACCAAAAAAAGGAGGAAAAAAACCAATGTTACACTGCACCTACAATTATCTAGCAAGTGATCCTCAAGTTAGAAAATTTTACCAGTAAATCCATTGGAACTGAGATTCAATTCTTCCAAAGACATTGAAGTCAACAACAAGTCCTCCGGCACAGCCCCAAAGAAAAGATTACTCGCAAGTTTCAGAACTCGAAGTTCACGCAAGGAAACAAAAGAAGGAAGCTCCCCTCTAATCATATTATCACTCAAATCCAAAGCTCGCAAGTTCCGAAACAACCCAATTGCGTCCTTCAGAAAGAAGTTCCCGTTCAATTTATTGTGACTGACGTTCAAAAACCGAACAGTATTAGCCAAAGAGGAAACATTCTCAAGAGTAATGGAAAGTCCACCATAGAACTGATTCTGACTCAAATCTAGAAACTCGAGGTTCCGAAGAGTGGGAAGAAGGTCACCAATGTCAGCCCAGAGTTCGTTACTGTGCAAATCGAGGACCCTAAGTTGTTGAAGATTGTTGAGACCAGTGGGAAATCCACCTTTGAATTGGTTATTTGATAAATTGAGGTAATTCAGACCCCAAAGATCGTTGATCCGTGCAGGAATTGGACCGTAGAATTTGTTACTCGAAAGATCCAAATGCTGGAGAGAGGTAATTATACCTAAAGAAGGGGGTAACCTTCCGGTGAACTGATTCCCGGCGAGACTGAGGTTTTTGAGCATTTTAAGGTCGAGGAGAGTATGGAACTTTATCTCTCCGGTGAGGTTGTGATTCTCGAGTACAATTCCGGTGACGTTTCCGGTGAGTTCGTCGCAGGAGATTCCTTCCCATTTGGGGGGACAAACGTCGAAGTCGGTGATGGAAAAGGGGTTCCATGAGTTGAGAACGAGATTTGATGGATCTGAGGTTATGCCTTTTTTGAATTCTAGTAGAGATCGGAGCTCCGGTTGGGAGGCGGAGGAGGTGAGGAAAATGAAGAGTAAATGTAGGGCGGAGAAGATGAAGTGCGGTGGAGGATTCATCGGAGTTAATGTGGTGGAAACGATGCGTTTTAGTAATTCATTGTTGGAGAGAGAACCTTAGAGGGAGGTGAAGAGGGTTAACTACGTTGAACGGAGGTGGAAGGAAGAAGGGTTTGAAAGAGAGAGAAAGTTCAGTGAGTGTAGTGTAGCACTATAGGGTTTGGTTTTAATTTTCATTTATTATTTTATTATTTATCTATTTAAAAATATAATAATAATAATAATAATAATAATAATAATAATAATAATAATAATAATAATAATAATAAATAATAACATTATTAATAATCATATAAATAATAATAATAATAATAACAATAATAATAATAATAATAATAATAATAATAATAATAATTATTATTATTATTATTATTATTATTATTAAGTTTTTTAAAGAATTTTTTAGAGTCAAAACTAAGGTTAGTTTAATAATTATTAACATTAATTAATTAATTTATTATTTGTTTATTATTTATTTATTATTTATTTTTTTAAATTGTGGATTTGAAAAATTATATTTTTAATATTTTAAAATTTAAGCTCATTTTTATAATTTATTTTATTAATATTTGTTATTTATTTTATTTATTGTTAACTAAAATTACTCATTTTTATAATTTAAAGATTTATTTTCAATCATGTTGTCTTATTGTTAATATTTTATAATTTATCTTTGTTTTTTAATTTTTATTTTCTTTTTTATTCTTAGAGTTATTGGATAATTAGATTATGTTTTTTTTACGTATAAATTTGTTGTAAAAAAGGAATTTGGTGAAAGAAAGAAAATTAGAATAATTGTGTGAATGATATCCTATGTGAATGGTGATTATATTATATATTTTCTTAATTTTTTTTTTATATTCTCAATTATATTATCGTTTTAATTTTTAAAAAAATAATAATATTTTAATTGTGTTTTTATTTGATTTTAAAATATATAAATTTAATTATCATAATAAAGCTCACTTCAACTAATTATATTAGTCTTAAATTTGATTATGTTTTTTTAAATATAAATTTTGACATAACAAATATATTTTTTATAAAAAAAATATTATTAGAAAAATTAAATTGTGGGAGAGGGTGGTTTAAAAAACTTTTAATCTTTATTACTTTTATTATTCTTATTTTTTTTATAACTTAAAAATTATAATATTTTTATTAATGTTTTCATCTCAAATATAAATCAAAGCTAAACAAATATAATTCACGGACCCAATCATTAACACGTACAATAAATTATAGCATTTTTAAGAGCCTAATTTTTTTTACTATTACATAAGGAAATATTTTAAAAAAACATACAACATCAAAAGCCACGATTCAAAAGTAATATTTTGGAGACATTATAATATAAATATTTAATTGATGAATTTGTTTCAAAAATATTTAGTTCATGAATTTCCTTTAAAAGTGTTCGGAGAAAGACTTTTTTTAAATATTTAAATTTTTTAAGCGGTATAAAATGATATTTATTTATGGTTTAAATAATATTGATAGTGTTTCATGTATTAAATATATAATTGTATTTTTGGTGCTTATTTTTAAATATTAAAATTATACACTTAAAAAATAATTATACCTATTTTTTAAATTATAATCAAGTATCTGAGTTGATTGGACCGACAATTATAATTATATATATATATATTATATTTTGTAAGGAGTTACAAATTAATTTTATTTTCTTAAGTTATAAATTATCTCATTAAAATCTATAATTTTTATCATTATTTTCTATTATCACTTATGATATTTTGTTTTTGTTTTTCTTCTATTTTGACTTTACAATACTATCTCTTTTCTAATCCACTTATTCTCACTTGAGGTGAAATATATTATTTATAGTGATTTATTTAACTTATTAATCATTTATATGTGATTTTTGTTTGAAATAGTCGGATGAACATGAGAAGGGATTTGATATTTTTATCTTTGATAACTTTACTTCTTTTGTGTGTAACTATCTAATTATCATTATTTTTTATTAAAATAAATAATAATAATAATAATAATAATAATGATAATAATAATAATAATTATAAGAATAATAATAATAATAATAATAATAATAGTACAGACTTATGTCTATATATTATAACATAAAAAAAATTAATTTATACATGATTTTTTTTAAGAAATCAAAATGGATTAACATAAGCGGTCATATAGCACAAAATGTACTACAGAGGATGCAAAAGTTTATTACACTTTCGTCATACGAAGAACGAAAATCTCACCCTAAACCCAAACAAACCAAAGGGTTTTACCACCACAAATGGGATCGATAAATAAAATTAACGGACTTAGCCTTTAGCCACATAAAAGATACCAATTTAACATTATCTAACAATTGGATAATAAGTGCAGCTTTGGTGTTAAAGACCCTATTATTCTGCTCTCTCCAAATGACACAAATAGTAGCGATTAATAGTAACCATAAGAAGTTACAGCAAGCACTATTTCCACCTGACAAGTGAAAAAATTGAATAAAGTGATTGTTAAGGTGAAACAGATGAACCTCGTCAATACCTATCCAAGACCGAACCTGTTGTCAAAGTGAACCGAATAACTCATAGTGGAGAAATAGATGTTGTGTTGACTCTATCATACCACACCCAGCAACACATAATAGATCCTCTTGAGAAATAATTTCTCGATTGGCCAAATTAACCTTGGTAGGCAATCTATCACGCATCAACCGTCACGCACAGTTAGAAAATTTCGTAGGAACCTGTTTATGCTAAATATAATCAAAAATCGAGTCCACCAATTGATCTTGTCGGTTGGTAAGCATATGATAAACATCACTGACCATGTAGCATGTGCCTTCAGAAAACATGCATTCGTCCTAAATGTTACTCTGTAAAGAGACATCAATTAATAATAACTGACACTCCTCCACCAAATCCTCCTCCCAAGCTAACAACCTTTGTCGCCACCTCCAAGCACCACCTCCTGCTCCCCACCCTAAGAGAAAAATGTTTGCTACCGACTCCCCTTTAAACTTAGATAACTGGTAAAGACGATTAAATCTCCCACATAAATGCACCTCTCCTACCCAAGTATCTGTTTAAAAGAGAGTATGAACATCATTACCCACCTTCCTATGCACGTTCTCATTGAACCAACTTCCTTCATATAAACCCAACCCATCCCGAACCCGACCACCTCACTACACCAATTAGAACAACGCCTCCCACCTGATTTCACTCACCCGACTTCCACACTGATCGTACCTGATCAAAAGAGATCGTCAAGGCCCAGAAGCTTCAAGTCGGGCATCAATTGAATGTGAAGTGGAGGGTACTGACAAGATACTCTGATGCCAAAGTAAAGTTCAGAGCAAGTGCAAGTAGAATGTGAAAGTATGGATGAATGAATGAATATTTGACTCTCTCAAGTGAGAGGGTATTTATAACCCTCAACGCTGGGTTAAGGTCCCCATATTAGATTGACAAAGCAAACCCAAAATGAAGACTGTCATGATCTACGTGAGTAGTGGAGACCAGCACGTGGTCTCCCTCATGAGTGGACTGCTCCGAATTACTAAGAGGACGTGGTTGCAGTATTTTCGGGGTCAAGATGACTCTGGGATACTCGGAGACGTGGGCGTCTGCCCTACGATGAGGGTGTTCGTCAAGACCTCTTGGGAGCCGTTAACACTCCTCGATAATCCTATGGCGAGGAAGGCCCAGGGGGCATGTCCTCGGTGCAAGAGTGGAGTCGTTGTCCGACATAGTCAAGGACAGCATCATTCTTGCTGGTCTTCACCTGCAACAGAGTTGGACTTGTATGTTGTTTGGGCCAAGCGCAGACCCAGTCCAGAACATACACCATATCGAGCTTCCAACACATTCACACACAATGACTCCCTCTCAACAAACATCCTCCAACACCGCTTTTCTAACGGGACTATATTAAACTCATTTATCCTCATCACCCCTAGCCCACCAAACTCCTTGTTTTTAAAAATAGTTGTTCAATCAACCCAAACAGTTTTATACATGATATTGTAATACGTTTTTAAAAATAATTTTTACAGTGTACCATAATTTTGTGTAAAAAAATTTACAAAGAAGTTTTTCATAAACATTTCACATGAAAATTTGATTTGAATAGTTATTCTTAAAATTTTATTTTAGATATTTCATTATTTTATTAAAAAGAATTTTGAATATAAAAAATTCAAAAAATCTTGAAGTTATTTCAAATAACTTTTTATAAAAATCATTTTTAAAATACTAAAACTTTTTGAAAAAAATTGCAATTTCGACAATATTTCAATCTTCAATAATGTCTGTTTATATTATAAGATATCAAAATTAGTCTTTCAACTTAAAAAAAACGAATATAAAAAACTTGTAGTATTTCAGAAAACTATTTTATAAAATTCATTTTTAAAAATACAAAGAAAAATTCATTTTTTAAAGGTAAAACAAGCATACCCTATATTACTGCTATATGCAAATTAAATCCATAATATTAAGTAAATAATATTTTTTATTAAATAAATAGTTTTTCTTTTTATTAAATAAAAGTATTTTTATTTACTATCAAATATGACAAGTACCTTTAAAAATAATTTTAATAATCTAGATTAATCAATATACAATATTATTTAACTCAAGAATATTTATATAAAATGGCGGTGGTCTCTTCCAATTTAATAAAATTGAAGGAATTAGTTTTTACAGTTGTTCAAAAATAACTTTTTAAAATTTTTAATCTAAAATTAATTGTTAAATTGGATGAAATATTGTATCATCAACACATCATCTATTTTATAATAAATATCATTTTATTAAAAAAAGTTACAATAAATAGTTTTGAGTGTAATTTTAAATGTTTTAAAATTAAGTGTTATTTTTATTTTGAAATAAAATTATATTTGTAATTATTATTTTTAGATATTATTTTAAATTAGTAGTAGTAACCACTACTTTGATTTTGCAAATTGCAACATTGAAAAGCACATTAATAATTAATTAATCTAATAA